TTTCCAAAATTAAGATCTGAAAGATTAGCCTCAGCCCAAGACTGCGTATAGCATCTGATTTGAGTAACAATAGAGAGATTAGTAACCTCCTTTCCATCTCCCCATTTGAGTTGACAATATGCTTTCCAAATATGCCAAGCAATTATTCCAGCCATATTGTGTTTAAACACGTCGAGTATGGTTTTAGAACCCGCCTCTAACCACCAAGCAATGAGCATTTGCCTCAAAGAAATCGGATAAGCAGGATGAGGAATTTCAAAAATTCCCAGAAAATGCTTCCAAATATCCCAACTTAAAGAACATCTAAGCAGCACATGCTCCATAAATTCAGAATCTTTCTTACAAAAAGGACACATAGATGGTAGTATCTGCATATTAAATCTGAGTAGATTATCTGGAAAAGGAAGTATTTTGTGAAGGATTTTCCATTGGAAAACCTGAATCTGACTCTTTTGATGTTTATTCCAGGAGTGTCTAAAAGAGAATGTACCAGTTTTAGATCTCCTAATCTCATGAAAAGCAGAGGATAAGCTGAATCTTCCATTGGTTTCAGGTAACCAGATAAGTTCCCCTGCATCATCTTGTGCACATAATGCTTGCCCCAACTCATTAATTTTACAAATTCTCTTCCAAATAAAAGAATCAGTAGCCTTAGGTATCATATTACTCCCCCTTGGATATCTAGCATGACAAAACTGAGCCCACCCAGTGCTATTATGCCTCCATTTCCACCAAAGCTTTAAAGAAAAAGCTTTTTCAACATCTAAGAGGGATCTTAATCCCAGCCCACCTTCTTCATATGGTAAACACAACTCCTTCCACCTAATCCAGTGAAATTTGGATTTCTGAGCACTGCTACCCCATAAGAAATGAGACATCCTCCTCTCCAAGGTTCTAGTAATATTCTTGGGGAAAGTATCCACTGCCAATAAGTGTAAAGGAATAGTATTAAGCACATGCTTAATTAGCACCAATCTTCCCCCAAAAGTAAGATGTTTTTGTTTCCAAGATGTCAGTTTCTTATCAAAAGCTTCTAGAATTCCCTGACAGAAATTTTTCCTATTTATTCCTTTATGCAGGTTTGATCCAAGATATTTCATGGGCAAGTTTATCTTAGTCATACCCAGGAGCTTCTCCATATTCCTGATTCTAGCCAGGGAGGTTTTTCCACAAACAAAACTACTTTAATATATTCTTTCTCATGCTAATATAATATTTTCATGTTGAATTTTCTTAGTCAATGATTGTCTTGATCCATGATGTTTTCAATAAGAAATTATTTAAGAAATGAATTGTGAAGGTCATATGGAAAAAGTCATACTTAAAATTACTTGCATAAAAATATAAAATTTATAAATTTTACATAAATATCATAACTGAAGTTATCGGAGTTATCCAAAATCTCATTGACCAAAAGAGTCAATTTAGCCAAATTTCTTTTTCCTCAATACAAAACATTATCTATTTTCTAATAATCTATATAAAATTGCATTTCTAAACAATGAACACAAATGAATACGAATAAATAATACAAATTATACGATATTTCTTTGAAGTTCTGAGAAAGATTCAATTATTTTTTTTAAAAAAGGGAAAATTGCACTTTTAGTCACTGAAATAGTCACCATAATGAAATGTCAGATCCGTATTTCCGAGATTGTAAATAAATGTCACCCCTAAATTGTCGAAATTGTTGTAAATGTGGTCCTTTGAGAGGTGAAATGTACTCCTCGCCCACTTTGTACATTTCAACGCTCAAATGATCACATTTAAACCAATTTGGACAATTGAGGGGTGACATTTATAAACTCGGAAATAGGAGTTTGAAATTTCAATATGGTAACTATTTCAGGGACTAAAAACGTGTTTCCCCCTAAAAATACCATATTTAGAAATGAAGAACTTTTTATAATCAATTATAATAACTTTAGTACATTGTAATCACTTTCTTATTAATTAATGAAAACATAAAGAGAATTTTTATAACAATGTAGCATGAGTTAAGAACAAATTTTATAATACTTAGACTTAAATTTAGACCTTTCACGTGCCTCTAAAAATTTAGAGTTTTTTCGCAAATATTATTACGTACTACTTTAAAATTTATTTACACAAATATGATTAATAGTTACTACAATATAGTGTGTGGTCACTTACGTTTAAAAATTGAACATAAGTTACTATGATTAAGTTAGTACTATAGTCACTAGTCACATTTTTGTAAATAATTTTCATTGTAATCATAAATATGTAATTATTTCAAAACGTAAGCATGGCGAATCACTTAGTTTAAAGAGTTAACAAACTCAAGTGATTCAAAGGTAGTATATATTAATGTTCATTTATGTCATTATTAATTTCATTAGTATTTATTTATTTATTTAATTAATTATTTAATTATGTTATTTAATTAGATGTTATTTTTACAAAAGAAATTATAAGATGAGGCCCCTTAAAAGTTGAGGCCCTAGGCAATTGCCTTGGGCAACTCCCACCAAAGCCGGCTCTGTCTCTCTATTGAATTGATAAAGTAAGAATAAGGTAAACATGATTTAACAAATTTGGTATTAAACAGTTTTAGTTGGATTTTCCGAAAAGGTAAAAGAGACAATATTATCAAAACGAATGGGTTAATTATTTACACAAAAATATTGGCCAAAAATTGATGTATAATAATAAAAGGTTTGGATACCTTCTGATCTGATGACATCACTACTGATATCTCAAAGAGGAAATCATGGATTCGAGTCTCGTCCTAATCAAGATATTACAAAAGGAAAGGGGCTTTTTTCTTCAGTAGTACTAAATTAAAGTCGATTTCCAAAAAATGTGACCACTATTTGAAAAGGACAAAAAAGTGATTAAAAGGGTCATATATTTGGAATAACTTGATGTCATTGCGAAATTTTTATGTAACTATCAGATTTTTATGTCATTATCATATGTCACTATCAGTTTTTTATGTCAACTTTGAATGTCACTGGTTCACTGTCACCATGAAAAATGTCACCATCAAACGTAAAAAAAAATTCCGATTACATTTCCGACAAAATCGTCCGCCGGCCACCACTGCACTGCTGACAGCAGCGGCCGCCACCACCGCCGACCACCTCCAACGCCGGCCACCACCCAGCCCCGTGTTTAGCCGCCTTCCCAGCCCTATCTCAGCCCCAGGCCACCGCCACTGCCCCTCACACCCCGTCCTCCATTCCAGCCACCGCCACTGCCCCTCACACCCCGTCCTCCATTCCAGCCGCCGCCCAACTCACCCCCACCCCCACTGCCCTAGCCGCCAGACCCCTCCCCATCCTCCCAAGACCCCTTCCAGCCGTTGTCCAACTCGCCCCCACTGGGTACAGGTCCCCAACCCTAACTACCACGACCCAATTTTTAACGCACTGCCGCTAACAGTGGAGAAACCTAGCCTCACAACCGTCGCCCAGACACATAAGGAAACAACCCCAATCGGCGAAGAAAAAGCCTAGATCCAAAATCAGTGAAGAACACATCGAACCTCGTTGATGTTGCACCTGGACGACGGAGGCAGCGAGATGATTTTGTACGGGTGTTACGTACAAGGACAGACAGGAGAAGATCGATCGGAGCAGGGAGGAGAGATTGATTGAGATGCAGCAGGGAGGAGAAATTTATCGATGAAGAAGGAAGGAGACGGCTCTGACCGTGTAGGGCGACGGCTTGGGGACATGGTTGACAGTAGGCAATGGCCTGAAGAGATGATCAGTGATGGTGTTCTGCTCCTAGGGAGTTGCTCTGTCTATGAGCGTGAATTCCTTCAGCGCAAGGGAATACGGAAAGGTTTACTTAGGTGACTTTTATCAAATTGAATTTTGATCATATTTTTGTCCAATGGAACTTGAGAGGTAATATTTGTGTCATTTTTTCAAAGGAAAGGCTTTAATTAAAAGGGAAAATGGAAACTAATAATCCAACCTTTTAGCGGTCTTCTTTTAATAATCCCACCTTTTCGTTATTCATGAATAATCCAACCTTTGCACCTCATTTTCATTCACTGGTCTCTGACCGGTTGATGACCTGTTATTCCAAGTTATTTTCTTATCTTTGCAAAATATTATCTTTGTCAAAGGTGGAATTTATGGTATAATAGTTTGCAGAGATAAGAAAATAACTCGGAATAGCATGTCATCAACCGGTCGGGGACCAATGAATGAAGATGATGTGCAAAGGTTGGATTATTCTTGAATAATGAAAAGGTCGGACTATTAAAAAAAGACTGCTAAAAGGTTGCATTATTAGTTTCCATTTTCCCTAATTAAAAAAGTTTGGTGAAATCATGAGACGCCATACACTCCTATAGCGTGCCAACTCAATAAACCCCTGAATAAACAAATTAAGAACGGACGATAACAAATACCATACGTGGAAAAGTGGAAAACAGTGCTCCCTAATACGACCATCTTCGTGAGGCAAATACAATCCAATGCCCAAAGTGCAACCTTTTTTTTATACTAAAAGACAGTTTGGCTCAGATGGATGAACTATTGTCATTATTAATTAATACCTGTATTGTGTGTAGAAAGATCAATTACAACTCTCTCCATCTGTTAATAACTGCTCATTGAGATCATAACTACCGTACACAAAAATTGCTCAGATATGAACAAACCAAGCTAGCAGTAAGCACTACTTTGTACATTCAGTTAGTTGCTCCTAACACTCTTTTAAGATGTAATTATAGAGGTACTTTATTATTATTATTATTATTATTATTATTATTATTATTATTATTATTACATAGTATTATGTAATAAATGAAAGCAGAACCAAGCATTCCAGCCTAGCTGGTTGTGAGATTACTGTGCTTAGTGGGAGGTCTCGAGTTCAAAACTCGCTAGACATGTAAGGCTTCGAAACTCGCTAGGTAATATTAGTAATGATTACTGATGAATAAATGTGTTTGTTTGCCATTCAAAAAATAATCGTTTAAAGAAATTTAAGCTAGAAAAGAGAGTCACTAACCGCGTGAACATCACTCAATTAAATCTTCATAATGCAATCTAATCTATTAATCAATTAATTAATGATGATAAAATTACATGCCGCGTATTTGAAAGTAATTTCCCCAACGGGAGGAAAAATGAGTTGTACCACACATTGTTGATAACAAAAAAAGGAAAGTTCCCGAAATGGGACTAAAAAAGTCTGAAAATTCCAAAATAGGACTATCATGTTTTTATTCCCAAAATAGGACTAATTACTGCCAAATTTGAAAAATACTGTCATGTTTGAAGTCTGGTATTGCCAAAACATGACAGTAATTAGTCCTATTTTGAGAATAAAAACATGGAAGTTCTATTTTAGAATTTTCAAACATTTTTAGTCCCATTTTGGGTAATATCTCAAAAAAAAAAAGTAAAAACTCCCAGCCCCCAGATTTCTAAATCCGGTTCTCTTCTCCAGCCAATTTCCGAAAGAAAGAAAAAAGCGTATGTAATTAATTAATTGCGGAGTAAATAAAAAAGCAATTTTTTTTTATTTTTTTCCAAAATAAAAATAAAAAAGCAAATTGAGAAAAAAAATCTAAAATTAGAAAGTCCATTTCCAGATCTTGATTCTGAGATCAACCTTACAGCTTGCATCAGAGGTTGTAGCGACGGCCGGAGTCTTCTTCTTCCCGCCGCCTTTGGGGGTTTGGCTGCGGATTCCTTCGCATGTCACCCTGATCCCCACTCTCCTGCTCTTCAGTTTGTCCTGCTTCACCACCACCATCGTGTCCATCAAGATCTTGATCGCCATTCCCCCCTTCTTCTTCTTCAGATCTGACTTCAATTCCGACACTGACTCTGAATCCAGCACCGCCTGCGACATCGACGACAGCGTCGAGTGGATCACGCTGATGTTACTCGGGTTGCTGGTGAATCCCGGGAACGACCCGTTCCCGATGGCGATCCCGCTGGCGATCGCCCTCAGGGAGATCCGGTCGTAGCTGTAGACCATTTTCTTGTTGGGATTTCGGGCGGAGATTGTGAGGTTCAGCTTGGCGGTGAGGCGCGTCGTGTCGTCCGAGGCGGTAGTCAGGTTGAATTGCGAGATCTTGAGGGAGGAGACGGAGAACTCCGGGCGCTGCGGACGGAAGAGGACGTAGAACGCGGCTCCGGCGATGGCGGCTAGGAGTAGGAGGACGCAGATGATGAGGACTGCCCAGAAGCAGCCATAGCAGAAACACCTGCGGCAGCTGCACCGCCGCCGGTTATGTCGGACGTCGTGAATCCTCTGGGGGACGTAAGGACGGGGTGTTTGTTTGAGTGGGGCAGCGGCCCTCGCCGCCGTCGGAGTAGTACCGTTTGCAGCGATGGTGCCGTTCTGCTTGGCAGACATCTTTGCAAGAAGATTTCAAGACCCAAGTTCGAGATTTGAACTAAGTCAACCGACACTCCGCCCACAAACTTAGCTTCCTCAACCGGCAAATGTGGTATCACCGCCGACACCGGTGGTTGAGGTTCTCTGTATTTTTCGGAGTGGCAAAATTGATCTCTTATAATGAGTCGCACAGCTTTACTTATGAAAATCTAGCTAGGTTTGGGGATGACACGTCGGAGGAACACAAAAATTTGAAGCATTGGGACCCACTTTTTAAGAGATGGGTATTGTAGCGCAAATTATTACTACCTCCGTCCCAAAATTAACTTCCCGTTCGGTTTACGATGCTTGACTGACGATAAAGCAACTTGATCCCTGCTCACACTCGGATTATTTTTAGTAAATAAAATTTACATATTCAGAAACTACATTAAAAACGCTACAAAGCATGATCAATAAAATTTAAATTTGATAAAAATTTCATATAAAAAGTAAAAGATTACGAGTGATTCAAGTTGACCAATGAATAGTGACTGGGAAGTTGTTTTTGGGAAGGAGGGAGTATATCCTAAGAAGGACTATGTTCCATTCAAACGATTTGTTTTGATCCAAACTAAATCTAAAGGGAAAACTGTCAAATAAGTTCTCCAACTTTCATAAAAAGGTCAATTAAATCCTTTTATAGGAGGTTCTGTCCGGCCGTCGTGATTTGGGGCAGTTCCCGGTGGAACTTTTTGATGAATTTTTTTGAGCATCTTATTCACCAAGTCTAGTTTACTCATACCAAATTTCAGCTAAAAATTCAATTGGGAACATATTCAAATTAATTGTTGAAGATAACTGCGCATTTTTGCGTTCTCGAATTAATTTGAATGCGCTCCCGATTAAATTTTTAGCTGAAATTTGGTATGAGTAAACTAGACTTGATGAATAAGATGCTCAAAAAAATTCATCAAAAAATTCCACCGGGAACAGCCCCAAATCGCGACGATCGGACAGAGTCTCCTATAGAAGGACTTAATTGACTTTTTTATGAAAGTTCGAGGACATATTCTAAATGTCGAATCATCAAAGTTAAAAAAGTTTGATTCGGTTCCATTTTTTATAATTTGAAATCACGATTTGTCTGGTTGAAATTTTGATTGGTTTTTGCTGAAATGCTTTTGTTGATTAAAAAAACATTGTAATTTGAAAACAAAAGAAAACTAAAAATAAACTCCATCAAACAAAAATAATGTTCGCTTTTATGGTGACTATAGCATCGGCAGAGAGGATCTTTTTAAAACTAAAATTATTGAAGACATATGTGACGGCTCGGCACTTTTATGTATTGAGAAGGAGATGTTAGATAATATTGACATTGACTCTATCATAGATGATTTTGCATCTACGAATGTTTGACAAAATTGTTTTTTTTTTTTTGTGATTTTTTGTATGAACTATTACATATCATGCTTTATGTAACGAGCTTTGCTTTTATAATAAAATTCGTTTTTCACTTTCATAATTTCAAGTGTCTGTTTTTGTAATATGTCCCAGGTCTTCAAAATGTCAGGACCGGGCCTGAGTGAAGGCATATTATATTGTAAGGGCTTCTATGACCTATTTGAATCTGTCACCAATTCTGATGGTGTACTTTTTCTAAACCATCCAAATCAGAGAAAATGGAAGAGAAAGAATGGCTAATGTTGAAAACAAAGGCTTTAGAAGCTATTAGACAATGGGTTGATATTAGCATTTTCAACCATGTGACGCAAGAGTATGATCCATATGATTTATGGAATAAATTGAAAGGTCTTTATGAAGGGATGACTGCTCATAATAAAGCTTCTTTGTTTAAGAAATTTGTGAATTTGGAATTGAAAATCGGAAAGTGTGTTTCTGAGCATCTTAGTGACTTCCAAGATATTATTAACAAGTCGATTACCTGTCTTGGTGATGTGTTGCAAGCTTTATTTCTCTTGAATTCTTTGCCAGACAGTTGGGAAACCTTGGTTGTGACTGTTAGTGAGTCTGATTCGGGTGGTGTGCTATCATTGGATGTCATTAAAAAAGTATGTTTAATGAGAAAATCAGAAGAAAGGAGATGGTAGTTGATAATACACATGCTCTTGTTGAGAACAGAGGAAGGAGTAAGAATATGGCATGGGTCTCAAATGTTACAATAACTCAAGAAGCGGGGACAAATCTAGGGAAGGACAAAATATCACTATATGCCATTATTGCAAGAAGTTTGGTCATATCAAGAAGTATTGTTTTCGTTTGAAAATGGAACGAAGGACTAAGAATGATTTACAAAAAGAAGGATCTGACAAAAGTGATGATGATGTTGATTTGGTTTTGTGCAACTGGTGAATTTCATCATGTTGATAGTTCAGACTCAAAGTGGCTTGTAGATATAATTGTTTCATGTCATTGTGTTCCAAAAAGAGAGTACTTCAAGAACTACCAATTTGGTGATTTTGGTAATGTTAAGATGGGTAACCAAAGCTCAACAACCATTTTTGGATTTGGTGATATTCGTGTGAAGACTATTATTTGATGCATATTTACACTGAAAGGTTTGCGTCGTATTGCTGATCTAAGCCTTAATTTGCTATCTGCTAATGTTCTTGATCAAGAAGGTTTCAGACACACCCTTGGAGATAGAAAATGGAAATTGTCTAAGAGTTCTATGACAGTTGCATGCGGCGAGTTGTGTTGCTCTTTGTACAAGACATATTTGAGTGTATGTTCCAGTGAACTTAATGCAATGGAAAAGAAGATCAATTCTCCTAATTTGTGGCACCGCAGATCGGGACACATGTGTGGCAAGGGTTTAAAATGGCTTGCAGGTAAATCTCTTATTCACGTTGATGTTACATTTGCTCTTGACACTTGTGATCATTGTTTGGCAGGAAAGAAGCATAGAGCTTCTTTTACCAGGAAGTGTACCTATAGGCAAACTAAACTAGAGCTTGTGCACCCCTAGGTTTGTGGTCCCATTGAGGTAGAGTATTGTAATGGTGATAGTGAATACTTTATCACTTTCATTGGTCATACTATGAGAAAAACTTGGGTTTACATGTTGAAGAACAAAAGCAAAGTGTTCGAGACATTTCAGAAATTTCATGCTATGGTGGAAAGAAAGACGGAAAGAAAATTAAAGTGTCTTCATTCTGGCAATGGTGTTGAGTATACTTCACATGAGTTCGAGAATTTTATTGTTCACAACATGGCATTCAACATGTGAAGAGAGCTTCTCTCAAAATATGTAATTATAAAATTATATATTTTGTATGATGATAAATAGTACAAGATTACAAAATAATGATTTTTTATTAAGGCTAAACAAAATTAAAGAATGTTATTTAAAAAAATGTAACAATGTTTGAAAAATTTCGCAACAGGACTAAAATTAATATTTATGAATTATGAATTTCAAGTGCTTCATTTACAATGGAAAAATAAAGATTTTGCAATTTAAAACTACCGAGTTAATATTTTAACATAAAAATAAATCTTTATTTTGAACTCTTTATTTTTCTTATTTTTCAATTTAGATCTTATAATTTATTTGTAGTGTTTTAAAATTAATTTTTATTTATTTGAAGTCAATAAAGATAAATTTGTTTCTTTATATGAAAATGAGGAGTATATTTGCACATTTTAAAAGTTCAGGGATATATTTGTATTTCTACTCTGAATTATTACTCCTCCGTCACATAAAATTTTTCCCACTTTCTTTTTTGGCCCGTCCCAAAAAATTCTTTCCACTTACCATTTTTGGACAATTTGTGTGGTTCACATTTATTTAACCTTTTTCTTACACAATCACAACCATTGAACCATACATTTTCACTTTATTCCACTTTCTTAATCTCTGTGTCCAGGGGCGGAACCAAGGGGAGCGAGCTGGTGCTGGCGCCACCCCTTGGTCGGAGTTTTTTCAGTAGTAGTATTAGGTATATCCATTGCCGCCCCACTCATCTTCTTCGTTGAAACCTCGTTGCTGCCATGGCCGGCCGAGAAATGCGAACAAGAGAGAAGAAAGGCACATGTTTTCTTTTTAATTAAGTCTAAAGAGCGAAACGACGTAGTTTTGTTAAGTGCACATAAATGTGAAAACGTCGCCGTTTTTAATAAGAGTCTGATGTTAGCCTTTGACCTTCCGCCTCCTATTTTGCTCTTCGCCTCTTCCGCCTCTTAGTCCGTCCGTCGCCTCCAGGAGTTCAAGACTTGCAGTTGCTCTCTTCCGACCAGCCCCGTCCTGTTTCTAGTCACGCCTCGCCAGTCTCCAGCGGCTCCTCCCTGCGTGGCTGCGGCCCAAGTTCCCAACTCTCCGTCAGTCTCTGGCGGGCTTCGTATCGACTCCTCTCGTTTCAGCTTTTGGACTCTTTGACTTTCGTAAGTTCTTCTAAAATTAAAATCTACGGAGTATTTTAATTACTTCAATTGCTTAATTGATTTAATTACTTATTTAATTTAAAATTGAATTTATTATTTGCTTTAAAAGTTCTATTACTTTTGCAAGCTTATTGATTAGTTAGTTTAATTTCTTTAAAAGTGTAATAGATTACTTAGTTTAATTTCTTTAAAGTGTAATAGATTAATTGGTTGAAGGGTATAAAGTTGAAATTGTTTTTGCAAATTTATTGATTAATTACTTTCATTGCTTTAAATTTTTATTGATTAATTACTTTAACTCTAAGAATTTAATGGAGTAGAATGATTTATGGAGTAGAATGGGTGATGAATGGATGAATAACAACTTTGGTGATATACATGGAGAAGGAAATTTTTGCAAAAATTGAAAATGAAGCAATTCTGCAATGTTTTCAACATATGTAGACACGCGGCACACAAATGTATCCATTGAAAATGAAGCAATCTTGCTTCTTCTTCTAACATTTAATTGTAATGTAATCTACTCTTCTCACAAATTTTATATTTCGTAAACTTTAACAACAATTTACTACTATTTTTTGCAGTTTACTACCTCCGTTTCTATTTGTTTGACATGGTTTGACTTCTCATAAATTAAGGAAAATGTCTATTCAGGGATAAATTTTACTGTTTGGACACTGTTTGACCCTGTTTTGCACTGTTTTGTTTAGAAAATGAGAATTTTAACATTCATTTTGAAACATCTAAAAAAGGAAAGTGTGTCAAACAAATGAAAATGGAGGGAGTATAATATTTTTAGCCACCCCTTTA